TGGGCTGCCACCGGGATGGCACTGGCTGCTCTGAGCTACTTCCTTCTGAAGTTGACAGGCTGTACTCATCTATCTTGTATTGCACTTGGCTGTGAGCCAAGATGAGGTTTTGTGTGCTCCTCCTCTGACTGAATGTTTCTGTTTCTTCTAAGTTAGGAGCATTAGAAACAGCCTGCATGGGTGATGGTTTTATAGCATGAAATCGATGATTGTCTGTTGAATGGTATGAGGATATGTGCTTTGAGAGTGGAGCCTGTTGAGAAGTTAGAGTGGGTAGGACAGAGGGAGTCTCACTCCACTGGTGTTCAGCAACAACTTCTGGAGCGTTCTCAAAACTGTGCCCAGGGTTTGTCTTCAGAAAAGCTGTTTTCCGGAGCAGTGTAGGACTCCATGTATAGTAGTAGCAGGTTAGGTGTACACGGGAGGTACAAATGACTGGAAGGAGATGGTATTCCATTATAGGCATACCGACCTGGTAGGCTGCTCTGCCTTGTCAAATTCTTGCAAAGCTGGTCCTGGAGCTCCACTTAAAGCAGGTTATGGAGTCATCAGGTCCTAGGGCTGCTGCTGCCTGCTCAGGACATAGAGCACAGCACCAAAAAATGTTTCTCATGATTTTAAGGGACCATGTGGTAAACGTGTAGTTAAGCAGTGGTATTTCTTTTTACTTCCTCAGAAAGCATGTATTATTTAGAAATTATAATGAGCCTGTACAGTGCATAAAATGCATGTGGACACCATCTCGTACCTGTGCAGTTCTCCAGGGCAATCATTAACGATGTGTTTTACCATTCAGTGACTTTCCTTTGTCTCGCTTAACAGACTTGCATGACTCTTGTATAGAAAAATACACATCTTTTCCCTAAGAAACAGGCAAGGATATCACTTAATGTCTTTTATATTTTGACTTTAAATTGCTTTTATTGTCAAATGAGTTCTTGTCTTATAAACTTGTCATACCTCTCCTTGAACGTCATTTTGTAGTTAATTTCTCTGTGAAAATACAGAGAAAGCATACTGGGCTTCTGAAATCTGACGGTAATATTTTCACATATTACTCTAAAGGATGAACCATTTCCTCCAGCTTAAAATATTAAGCCAGCATTGCTTCAGCTTGCTTTGCAAGGCTTAACTATATCTGCAGTTATGTAAGTTTCAGTTATGTGATATTTCATGGGCATCTATTTAAACATACAACTATTATTTTTAGTTGAAATATAGACTATATAAAGACTTAAAAGATGTGGGATCAAGGTGGACAACCTTGGCAGCAATGGCCTTTGAACCAACAGCAGTGGATGCAGTCATTTCAGCACCAGCAAGATCCAAGTAAGTATATGGAAAGCTTTGTGGATTCTTTTTTTTCTTTTTTTTTTTTTTTTTTTTTTTTTTAACCTGTTGTCGTTTGTATTTTTGCATCTTTGTTCAGAGCATGACTGATAGTTGCTTTTTTGTAGTTGCTCTCAAGATAATACATTTATGATGTTTTTCTGAGGAGCTAGAAAATTAGAAAACATCAATTCCAAATGGTTTGACATAGTTAATATTTAATATGCAAAGTACAGACAAGCAACCTGAGTTATCCTGTACAAATTATCAGCATTTTACCAATCATTCAGATTAACATTTAGACCTTTCGTACTTTTACAGAATCTGTATCCCTGTCAGTTACAGAATCTGTATTTCTGCCAGTTCTGTAGCCAAGCTGAATTGTTTATTTGAGGAAATCTGCTTTTTATTCAGTGCCTGTGTGGCAGAAATACTAATGCAGGTGTATACACAGAAGAATTCTTATTGGAAGATTAGTATGATATTTGTTTTAGGTTACAGCAGTGATGATCATGATCTCTTGTTTGGATTTTTTTCCCCCACCAAAAAAATAAACCCACCATTTTAAACAATAGAACAATATACCTGAAATTGAGAGTGAGGTGACAGTCATTCAAAGCATCAAGAGAAATACAGGAATAGATAGAAGAGAGCAGAGGTGTGTATTGGATACTCTGTTCAAGTGATCGGGCACACTGGTTTTGCATTGCTTTCTGTCACTTCAGTTTCTGTAACTTCACTAGAGAGATTTCCTGACATGGTAATGAGCAGAAGGTATACTAGTATCCTCATCTGAGAGTGCAACTTATTTACTTAGTGGAAGGAATGGTAGTAAAGAAAAAGTGGGGAGAGAACTATGCATTCCAGAAATTGGGGGTTATACAAAGACTATACATTGCAAAATGCAGTTTTCTAACTATGCATCTTTCTTAAACTTGAATTCAGAATTTGAGGCTATATATATATTTCTTTCTGATATCAAAATTAGATCACTTAGGTAAAAAGTGTATTGCTACCACCCATTCAGTGCTAATGTGAACCTAAGATAATCTGCCTTATGGCATTTTGCACATGTACAGAGAAACTCTACTTCAGCAAGTATGTACACTGACATTTGCTTTCAGTTTGTTTTACTCTACCCTGTGAGTATGTTTTAATGGTGCTCATGGTACTTGCTGAAGGTAAACGTTGACCACTTCTCTTGACCAGTGAGACATGTAATTGAGAAACATCTAAACTTCAGACATGTGAATGCTAACCTTTTAAATTTCCTCTGTTTATTTTAGGCCAGATTGACTGGGCTGCATTAGCTCAAGCATGGATTGCTCAGCGAGAAGCCTCAGGGCAACAGAGTGTAGTGGAACAACAAGGAATGATGCCAAACGGACAGGATATTTCAGGAATAGAGTCTGGTCCAAACAACCATAATAATTTTCAGGGGGATCCCAACTTCAACAGAATGTGGCAGCCAGGTTTGTCTTCCTTCACATTCATTCAGTATTTTATATAATGCAATTTTAATTTTGCCAGACACTTTTGGGTGTGAAAATGCCCTGTCCCTCAGGTTTCAGGATGCAGGACTACCAGTAGCATCGTAACTGAGTATCACAGCTGCTACTTCCCGGTCAAGTGTTCCACAAGATGTATAACAGTACAGACACAAAGGTCTGATAACACAGCTTGATAATCTCTATATAAAATAAATTGGTTTTATAATATACATATGCAAAAGATTTGTTCTCTCCCTTAATGTTGTGGAAAGATAACTGCAATTCACACTTTATTTCCCTGGGTTCTTATTCTTACATCTTGTTTTGTGTTTTGCTTATTGTCGCACTGCGAACCGTAGTGCTGAAGGCAACAGGGTGCCTCAGAATTAAAGAGCATGTGTTGCCCTCTCCTGTAGTGTAGTACCTGCTTCTTGTGTGATCTTGACATGTAGAATGAGTTCACAATGTAGCTTGCGGATGTTGGCTTTGGGTGTCTTAAAATGTTGAAAAACGAGATAAGCAAAATTTCGTCTGTAAAATGTGTTTTCATGCATTGGAATGGGCTTCCCAGGGAAGTGGTGGAATCACTGTCCTTGTAGGTGTTCAAAAACCGTGTAGATGAGGTCCTCAGTGACATGGTTTAGTGGTGAACTTGGCAGTCCTGGGGTAATAGTTGGACTTGATTATCTTAAAGGCCTTTTCCAACCTAGTTGATTCTATGATTCTCAGTTTCATATACTTAGTATATTCCATTTTTTACTTACATATCTGATTGTCATTTTCATAATTTTTCAGTTACTGTAAGATAAAGTTGATTGAATGCTTCTGTTAGTATCAGTTATTTTCAGTTCTATATAAGTTCCTCAAAACTTCAGTTTTGGCCAAAAATTCATTTTGTTTTTAAAACTTCATAAAATAATACTGGCAATAAGCATGGGGTAGAGATTGGCTATCTTCTGGTAAAAATTTTTCTGAAGTTGTTTTCTGAAAGGTTTGTTACCTCACCTTTCCATAATGCAATTGGAAATGCGTGAGCAAGGTAGTTAGTAAGCCTGTGTGCATGCCTTCTGTCATCTCCCTGCTCATGGCAGGGGGGTTGGAACTAGATGATTTTAAGGTCCTTTCCAACCCTAACTATTCTATGATTCTATGATCTTGGTGAAAACTGCACTTCACGCTTGGTTCTGTTAATGATTGAAAGAATAGCACCTCCAGTTTTCACTGTGACTATTCCCATTTGTTTAATTGCAGTGCTTCATAGAAGTAGGCTCTAAATATTCTTAGGTGTGCTTTACAAAAGGGAGTTAGCCATCAGGTTTCACGTAAGTTTCACCTACCTGCTCTGGGCTGTAAATTATTGTAGCTGTATGTAAGAATTAGAACTTTACTATGTGGCAGTACACAGCGTATTCGAGCAGTGTTTCTGTATAATAAGTAGAGGTTTTCACAGAAATACTATGTTATTATTGGACAACTTTGTTTTTCATACGATCCTGTGGTGTGAGTTCTTCATCCTATTCTTTGCCATCTCTAAGGTGAAAGAGATCTTAAACGGTATCTTTTGGAAACAGTCACAGAATGGTAAAAGTGAGGAAGACATTTTACTGATAATTATAAATGCTTGGTGCCCAAGCTCACACAGAAGATGCAGAACAGGGAAACAGCCTAGATCTGGAAGTGAGAAGAATGTAACACCTTTTTTGTAAACAGGAAACAACCTGCCGATGTATTTTTTATGATTGGGTTTATCATTCAAAGGTTACGCTGTTTTCCCAGTTTTCTGGGATGCTGATAAAGACCATGCTGATGAAAATACGACCTAGCTTCCCTTAATTTAGGCAATGTTATTCTTAATGTGTAAAAGCAGACAAACTAAATCATAGCATGCAAGGCTACCCAAAGTTTTCTTCACGTATTTACTCTATTTCTACAAAGCTTAATCTTTCTCCATATCCTTCCAAGTTTCTTTTTGGATCCAAAAGTCCTTTACATGCTACTAATAAAAAAACAAAATGGCACAAGTGAAAAGAGCACCTCTTATATGCGACTTGCAAGCTTTCAAGTCAGTTGACTTGAGGTAAATTTAGGGTTTAAATAGTGTCAAATGTTAGCATGCACATTTATGAACAATAATTTTTAGATAAAGGATTCTGTCCCTTAGAATACTTTACAAGTATTTAGACTTATTTCCTAGGAAGACAAAGCTTATGGCCACATGACCTATTAATTCATTCCTTAAACCCTTTTCACTCTGTTAGCCGGTTGTAACTTATGTTTAAGGGTTTATGACTGTAGCTTGTGCTAGAACCTCTGCTAAATATTGGAGAATCCAGGGAATCACTCATTATGAAGACACAAGACTTTGGAAAGCAGGTTTCAGTGGCTGTGCTGCTCAGAAAACCATTAGCTTTCCGTTATAGGTATAGCCTGTTATGTGAAGGGATAAAATAGCTCATTACTTAGAAAGTTGAAGTAGAGAAATTGAAGAAGTAAACTTCTTTTACAGTTTATACAATTTGTAAGTGCTATGGACTCAGTATCTCTGGAAATTTATAAAAACAAATTTACAGTGTGTCTGTGTCTATCCAGTTCTGCTCCTCAGCCTCTGGGTGTTAGTTCAGCTACAGCTATTTGTATTTCCTTCAGTTAGTTGAAGAAACTGTTGAGACAGTATAGTACAGTCTGTAGATTTCTGATTCTTCACAACTTCATCATCTGTGTTGCTTTGAGGAACCTTTTGAGCAGTACAAAAACATCGAGTGATTGGTGACTCATGAATTATACTAACTTGGTATTGATTTGTATTCTAAATCCTAAACAGAATGGGGAATGCCTCACCAGCCCCCTCACCCACCTCCAGATCAGCAGTGGATGACTCCAACCCCAGGTCAAATGGAAATCGTTCCTCCATCCGAAGACAGCAACAGTCAGGACAGTGGGGAATTTGCTCCCGACAACAGGCATATGTTTAACCAGAACAATCACAACTTTGGGGGACCTCCCGATAACTTTGCAATGGGGCCAGTGAACCAGTTTGACTATCAGGTGAAACATATTTGTTGCTTTAATATTGTAGGCGCGCAGAGTCCCTTCCGTGGATGTGTTCCTCTAATATCATCTAGCGGCGACTTTCATTCTTCAGTTCTACAAACATCTGCAGAATCTGTTATCTGCTAAGATACATTTTTACCAAATACTTTACAGAAGAGACTTTAGAGTTTTCAGTTCTGTTCTGAGGTGAAAGGGTGGGTTTTTTTTTTCTATACTAGTAATGAGAAATGGCTGTTGTCTGCAATATTAAAACGAATCACCATGTTCCAGTATAGAAATTAACATTATGTAGTTTTGTGGTTAAAAAAACCCCAATAAAATAAAACAGGAAGAAGAGGGGAAAAAAATATCTCAGAAATATATACTTAAAAACACTAGATAAGGTACCATAGGGAACAGTCCTACATTGCAGGGAGATAGACTGGATGATCCATTGAGCTTCTCCATATCTATCTACTGTGATTCTTTGAATAAACAATGGCATTTCTAAAAAATCCACATACACTTTTTTTCTTCATTCTGGCATATAAATTGCATAGCATAGTAAATCTGTAGGTGGTTTTAGCACTAACAATAGCAGGGGGCATCGCACAGATCTTGAAACACAAAGTTTTTGACCTCTTCCCTGTTTCCAGTATTTATTCCAATTGATATAAATGACCAGCTGTACCTGTTAAAACACCTACCTCCTGTTCATAAGTGGACAAGTGAAGATGGGTAGAAATGGGTGTTTATCTTCTGGCCTGCTTTTCTCTATTATTACTTCTCCTGTCCAGCTATATTGCTAGGAAATGAACCAGTAATTTTCAAATACACTAGTTTATTAAAATTTCCTTTGTTTACTATTGTGGGACCAACCCTTAAAATTAATTTTTCTAAATTCTACAGAAAATTTCCTTTGCAGTGAGTAACAGAAGGATGCTTGAGCTGAAATTGTAGTTGGAAGAGTGTTTCTAGCCCTAATGACTTAAATACACAGTGCAATATAATAACACCAGATTTGATGCTGTAACTGTCTTCCTAAACACTCTCCTCTTAAATAGTTTAATTAGGCATGTCTGGGCAGAAAATACTAGAACACTGCCCTCCCCCAATCAATGCTTCAAGACTTGGGACTTTTGGATTGTATACAGCTTCTTCAGTACCCAGGGGTCCCTATTAAACTTGCATAATGATGCAGTTAGTATTTTAATCAGCCATACTAGTAACAGCCATGAATGATTTCTGGAGAGTACACAGTGCAAATCTGTTTTGTAATAAAAGCTTGAACTTTCCATGTTTGTCCTCATGTTGTAGTTACAAGGCAAGACTGCTCCCATAGCTAGACTTTTAAATTTTGTATGCTCTTCATTTAACTGCATGCTCTGATGATAAGCTGGTAAGGAACTGCTGGAGATAGGTGGTGATTGTTGGGCCTAATATTTAGCACAATATGAGAGGTTGAAGCCCTTTCAGCTTTGTTAGGATACCTGCTTAAACCTAAGTTGACTCATTAAATGTTTAAGGAAAACTTGTTTCTCGGGGACCACAGAAAAAGAGATTGAATACTCTCGGTAGCCTAGAAATCGTGGATTTCTACTTGCATGGACTTGCACACATGCTGTATTTAGTGTTACCATGTGAAGAAAAATAAACTGCATTACTCTTTCAGCATGGGGCTGCTTTTGGTCCACCTCAAGGTGGCTTTCACCCACCTTATTGGCAGCCAGGACCACCAGGGCCACCAGGTCCACCAGCACCTTCTGCACCTCCTCAAAATCGAAGGGAAAGACCCTCATTCAGAGACCGACAGCGTTCACCTATCACTATGCCTGTGAAGCAGGAGCCTCCACAGATTGGTACATGTTAACCACTCCTTAATAAAAAACCATAAAAATTTGAAGAAATTGATTTTTTTTTTTTTTTTTACGTAGATGTATATAAAGTAAAAAAGAAGGGAAAGGAAAAGCTATTGTAAATGCTGTTTCTTTTTCTCCCCACAATCAGATGTGTGGCATTTTTGATTGGGGTGGAGGGTTTGTTTCTTTGGTTTTGCTTGGTTTGGTTTGGTTTATTGTTTTTCTTTTTTTGGGGGGAAAGGTTCTTTCATCTTACAGAACTGTAAACCTTGCTTATGTAGATGCTGTGAAGCGTAGAACTCTGCCTGCCTGGATTCGCGAGGGCCTGGAAAAGATGGAACGAGAAAAACAGAAAAAGCTGGAAAAAGAGAGGATGGAGCAGCAACGTTCACAGTTGTCTAAAAAAGAAAAAAAGGAAAGTGAGGAGGCTGAAGAAGGGGATGGCCCACGGTTACCTCAGAAAAGTAAATTTGTAAGTAGAAAGTGTTTGCTTTTTCCTCAGGTTTGTATCTCCTGAAAGTTATCAACTTTCTGGTCTTCTCAAAAGAGAGACTGTGTATTCCTGGTTATCTCTTTGTTTCTGTTGCTTAAAGTAAAGTTAAGCTGCTGCTCTGTAGATAATTACATGGTGTTTTGGAGTTGCTAATGCCTGAAGGTGAAAGTATATTATTTGATCTGTAGTAGCAAAGAGACAAGGATGAAGTTGGATTTGGGAACATACATGGTCTTTGAAGCAGCTGAACAAACTCAGATACATGTATTTGCTAAACTGAGCCCACTTAGAAAATCTTGCGTTGCCTTCATTTTAGCAGTTATCTCAGTTGTTTGCAGTTCTAAGTACCTCTCTGGCAGTGAACCGACATCTGTGTATTTTCTTACCTCCTGTGGGTAGAGAGGGACCTGCATGTTTGTTAGGGGAGAAATAGAGGTTTATGATAACTGTAATACAGATTTCAGTACAAAGTAAATCAAGTTGACTATCGTCAACAGAAACTCATGAGCTTGGCATCCAAGTTTTCCCTGAAATGTATGATGCTGTTCTTGTAGGACAGTGATGAGGAAGATGAAGATGCTGAGAACACAGAAGCCGTAAGCGTTGGGAAAACCAGCAGGAGTCCATCCCCAGCTCCTCAAGAGGAGCAAAGCGAACCAGAAATGACAGAAGAAGAAAAGGAGTATCAAATGGTATTAATAATGTAGTTCTCACTAAGTGTTTGTGTCTGTTTGCTCCTGTTTTCCAGGCATAGCAAAGTAAAATACATTTTTCTCTGCCTGATGTTGTCAGTAGAGGTATAGCACACATCATACAGTAAAGCTGAGTTATATTTGCATGTCTCTATAATGCTGTCTTTCTCAGATATACAAGGATATAGGTTATATATTTTATATTTAGCACAGTAGTGAAATAATGTAATGACTGTGATCTTTATGCACTGATCATTATTAATTCTGTAGTTTTGCTTAATTTGTCAAATTTCTGAAAACTTTTGATGATTAAATGCGCCTGTCTGAAATCTATGCTTAAACCTCAATTCCTGTGAAAGGGAATTTTAGAAATGTATTCTTGTAGGAAAGTCCTAGATGAGCAACAATTTTGCTATGTCTCCAGGAACTTACAAACTTCGTGCTTTGAAATCACAGTTGTATGTTAATTGTACAACTGAAACCTTGTTAATGAAAGCCCTGTATTTTTGCAAAGCACATGGCCAGACTGAGCAGCTTGGAGAACTAGCTCGCAACATTTTCAATTTTTGTAGGAAATATGTAATAATAAAATACTATATAAATTATCTCTGATGATATTTGCAGGATTTGGGTCAGTGAGGCAGCATACCAGACAGAAATGTGCTCTTTATTCTTTTTTGAACGATAAATGTGATCAGTCTAAGTACATTTCTGATTTACATATTTATTCTTGTATCATTTTTGAGATTAGGAGTCAAGGGTGTATAATACACAGGGATACGGTTCACAGTCAAAATACAAACTGTTCTGAAATTTTTGAAGTCAGGTCAAATTTAAATGGTTTCAGACCTATGTTTTAAAATCACATCTGCTGAAGTCATAAAATAACACATGCAGGAGAGTATTTTAACAGACATCAAAAGGAGAGTTTTATGGATATAATTTGAATGTAGCATTTATTCAAGATGTTTTGGCCTTTAATTGTAAGTACAATTTTCTTCAGATGATGCTGACAAAAATGCTGCTGACAGAGATTCTCCTAGATGTCACAAATGAAGAAATTTACTATGTGGCCAAAGATGTTCACCGTAAAGCAACTAAAGGTATGCCAGCTCTTTTTGGGTTTTTTGTTAGTTTCTTCAGTGAATATTCTATATTTGCATGTCTCTAGAACATTTAACCTCCATAGTTATTCTCCAAGAACAATTTTAGTATAATGCATCCAACTTGGTAGAGTTCAAATCCAGTAATCATGTATTGTTCTGTGCAGTGTATTGTGAGTTACTTCAGTTACTCCATTTCTTTCATACAATTCATTTTAGATAAAATGGTACCTGTGTGTCAATGGCTTTTGAGTTGTAGCTGTTTCTTAATGCTATCATCTTTATCTCAAGTTCTTAGCTGTTCAGAAGTGAAAAGAGACAACCTTTGAGTCCTCAATTAGCAATTAATTTCCTTTCACTATTAACACATATTGTACTTGCATAACAGATTTCTTTAACATAACTGAGTAATCTAAATATGTAACTACTGAAACTTGAAAATGATGTGCAGATGCTGTAACTTGGAAAGTGATTTATGAGTATATATTTGTGTCTTTTTTTCTGTTCACTGTTAATTTGCAGTTAGGTTCTAAATCTTCGTGGTCAGAAAATCTAGAAGTGGTTTTAAATGGATGATGCGTTTTTAATGTTTCTTCTCTCCCTCCAAAGAACAGCAATAGTAGTAGATTTAACAATACCATAGACTCATGACTATGAAATCGTGGCTATTTGTGTTAACATGTTGTTCCTGTTGTTGATGTGATACAAAGCTCCTGCAAAACAGCTGGCACAGTCCAGTGCACTGGCTTCCCTCACTGGACTCGGTAAGTATGTTCCTTATTTTTGAGAGGGCTTAAAGGGGGAGTTTCACTCTTGCCTTGCGTTTCTAGAATTGCATTTTGAATTTTAATTGCCCAGGAGTATGGGTCACTTTCTGATAACTTTATCAGCACCTTTGTTTGTTCCACAGGTGATCCTAATGATATAAGTGGGATGGTTTTTGGAGTAAAGGACTAGTCAGTGTGAGTTAGTGTATGAGAATCTTGCCTTAATTTTGAAAATACATAAAAACTTCAGATAAATTCACTTTTCAAAGTATGAGTGTTTCAGAAGCATACTGCAGTCTTCAGAGAGAGGAATACTGTTTGTATTTTTTTCCTATTTTGATCCATCCAAACAAGAAGGGAAAGTTGATAGATTAATGTGAAAGTCTAGGAATAAAAATACTATCTTTGGTATTATTATTTTACTGAAAAGCTACATAAACACAAAACCTCCCATATCATATATTGCCAGAAACAACACAGGAAAAAGAAATCCCAGCTTGAGACACAACAGCAAAAGATCTTTCCCAACATCCTTTTTATCATCTAAAATGTACTGTAGCAGTGTCAGTGATCAGTTATGTGTTCGTAACTTGCAATTCTGATTAATTAGGTCGAGTGTTATCATCACAATTATTCACGTTTTAAAACTAAGCCAATAAAGATCGTAAGAACCTCAGACTGAAAGAAAGTAAAATATCTCCGTGTGTCAGATGTTTAAATTGACTTTATCTTATCTTTCTTATCAGTCCAGTAGTTATTACTATCTCTAGGGGAGAAGAAAGTCCATTTCTGTTCCATCTCCATACCTGTCAAAGTGCAGTGTTTTCTAAATCAATGTAGGAAAATTGATATGGCATTCAGAATTTCTGTAGCCTTGGACTACGGAGGCGGCTGAAGTACTTTCAGAGGTGTCTTCTGGGAGAGGTCCCAGGCATTTTCTGTCCGGTTGCTGATACAGAGGCAGGCACTGTTACGATCTCCACAGGGAGCGTTTTTGCTCTTCCATGCAATGGAAAAAGTACCATGATCACAGTGGTTGCCTGCTGAAAATAGACGTTCCAGAAGGAGTAGAACCAGACAGTGAGCATCAATGCAGATATGGGGGCCTTGATCACAGCAGTCAAACACCATTGGCACTTACCAGAATAAAGTGACTTCATCAGAGAAGAGGAAGTGGAGGAAGGGCAATGTTACTCTCCTCTTTGCCCCACAGAAATTTTAGGAACAAAGCTTAATCTTTCCTCGTGATAGACTGGACTTTATGCACGCAGGTGGACTGGGTGGTTATGGATCAGGAGACAGTGAAGATGAGAGGAGTGACAGAGGCTCTGAATCATCTGATACTGATGATGAGGAATTACGACACAGAATCAGGCAAAAACAGGAAGCATTTTGGAGAAAAGAGAGAGAACAGCAACTACTGCTAGAAAAACAGCTAGAAGGTAATTCATATGATGTCTTCTTACTGTACTGCTTACATATACATATGCTACATATACTGCTGTATATGGAGTTTACTACTTAGAGAAAATGCATTGTAGGCCAAAAAATATGAAAACAAATTTAGAAATAATGTTCTTTAAAAAGTTTTCACAAAAAAAGATGTTTGAGCTACTTAATCAAAATGGGGTGTGCTGCTTTTCTTTATAATAAGAAAAAAATCCATGCAGTGTTTCCCATAAATTATTCTACTTCAATGTTAAGGCATGGTGCATATCTATATGCTATTGTATATATACTATATAA